GATGCAAAGGCAGATGGGGAGGGAAGAAGCCCCAAGATTTCCCAGGGAGTGGATTGAGTAGCTGGGTTGTACTGGATGCAAAGGATCAGGGAGAGGAAAGGTAAGCCTCGGAGCCCCAGAAAGAGGCTGTCAGCCCCAGAAAGAGGCTGGCGGGTGTTGCAGGACCAGGGAAGTAGAGGGAGATGAGGGCAGGGCCAGGACCAGAAGCGGTGCTCCTGGAGCCCAAGAAAGGGACTGAGTTGCTCTGGGTGAGAAGGATCAGGAAGCAGTATTGGTTCCCCAGGTGTCTGGGGCCCCGAGACTAGGAATGGCGCAGGGCCCAAACTAGGAGTATAGAACAGCGAGGGCGGGGATGGAAGGGTGAATGTGGCTTAGGGAGTCCCGGAGCGGAGAGCTGCGCTATAGACTTACCCCAAGAGGCCTGAGGATAGTAGTCTTACCTACAGTTTTAAAGAGGAAAGTAAAATGTCTGTACTTTCTGCTTTCATTCACTTTCTTTAATCTTTTTTTGTTATTTCAGTTTTTTAGTTGTTTTTTTTAATGTCTATGTACACGTATGTGGAGGCTGGGGTAGATGTTAGGTATCTTCCACAGTCTCCACCTTATTTTTTTTGAGACAGGGTCTTTCACTGAACCTGGAGCTTACCAATTAGAATAGACTGGCCAGGGTTGCAGGCACATGCCATTATGCCCAGCCTTTCCTGGGTACTGGGGATCTGGACCGAAGTCCTCATCTCATGTCTGAGAAGCAAGCACTCTAACTGGGTCATAGTGAAAGCATTGAAGAATATATTAGAAAAACTTTTTAGCTAGAAATTTCCCGCCAGGTGTGGTGGTGCACGCCTTTAATCCCAGCACTTGGAAGGCAGAGGCAGGCAGATCTCTGTGAGTTTGAGGCTAGCCTGGTCTACATAGTGAATTCCAGGCCAGCTGGGGCTACCGGGAGACCTTATCTCAAAAAAGATGAAAAAAAAAATTTCCCTTTCCCATCCTTTTTTCTTCTCTTCCTCCCTTTTCCGTTCCCTCCTCCCCTCCCTTCCTTGGGAAGGTACACTTGTATGCAAGTGTACAGTCTACAGTTTGACAGCCAGCCAGCTGTGGACCAGCACCATAGTCACACAACATTTCCACCACCCGCCTGGTTCCTTTCGCCCCCTCTTTTCCCATGGCCATTAACAATAACTGGTCTGTCTTCTTTTCCAGTAGCCTTCTCTTTTCCAAAGTCGTGTAACTGTAATAAGCCTTTTGAGATTGGCACTTTTTCCCCATAATGTATTTGAGATTCACCCCTGACTGCTTTCAAATATCAGTGAGTAGCATCATTGTATGAATTCACCATAGTTAAAGACGTTAGAGTTTTTCTAGTTTTTTGTCAACTATTAATAAAACCACTAGAAGCATTAATATATAGGGCTTTTATTCAAGAGCTTGGGTTTTTATTTCCCTTGAAAAATTTGCTAGTGGTTAGAGTCCTAGGTATGGTAGAGGTGCACTTACCTTCATAGAAACTGCTCAGGGGTCTCGTCTCCTGTCCCATTACAGTGTA